GTGACAGAACGGATGAAGATGTCAAAGCCAGCCAGAATCGGAAAGGTAAGATACGCCTTCATCAACTTGAAACCAGTTAGGGAATCTTCTGCACTCAAGCAGCATAAAGAACAAGATTCGGATTTTCAATACAAATGTGAAGTCAGTCAGTCCTTCTATAAGTGTCAAAAACTTGTTCTGCGTGTCACGAAAAAGATTTCCAACAGGTTGCAGACTTTCATCAACAGTTGTCTTCGCTGCTTGGCTCCATACTGAAGATGAAATGGCAGGCCAGAAAGAATTAGCAATGAGAAACGCCGGCAACAAACCGGCCAAGAGCCTATTGCTCAAAAAATATTTATGAAGAAATGGAGATAGATCGGGCATACAGCACTGAGGAGGCTGTCGAATCAGATCGCGCGCAGTGTAGGCCATGACTCAAATTGAACTTCAGTGGGGAGCAACGAGTGGGTTGTATGTGCGAGCGTGACATGGAGGAGATCGTGTGTTGAAGAGGAGATGGGAGAGTATGGGCAATCATGGACCCAGATGAAGAGGACAATACAGAATAGCACAGAGTAGAGATTTGTTGTTGAAGCCCTATGTTCCACTCGGAACCCAAGGGGATAATAATAATAACTCAGGTCACCAGAAGCTTACTGTAATGTGACTTTTGTTATGCAGTTGCGTTTCCTGTGGCTTAATAGAGTTTGCCTCACTCACCCTGTTTGGCTTCTGTCCCCATTTCTATTATGCGACTTCTGATTTACTAACTAAAGCCCTTATAACTTATCTTCTATATCACATGAGCTTTCTTCCTGATTACAGAAACAACCTACATTTAATAAATTTCCTCTCCTCTGTTTTCATTTACTCCATTTTTCTCTTGTTCTCAATTAATGAAAAGCTTTACTGTGAAATTAGCTCATTTTATTTTGCCAACTGTTTTGTTTATCCCTTATTCATAATTGTGAAATATGAAGGCTTCTGAAAAGAACACAGAGTGTGATTATTAAATTTCAATTTATCCTCAAAGATTATTCCAAATCCCATTAATTACTGTTAAATAATGGTTTATATTCGCCTCTTACCAATTTTATCAGGTAATTTGTTAACACTGGTCATTCCATCTCAATAAAGGAGGCATCCTTCAAAGTAATCTACAAAGTGAAGAATAACCTTCCATATTAGTTTGTTTATTGGATGTATCACACAGTGAAACAGTATTATTTACTGGATGACAAGGCTTTGAACAAGATTTATTGCGGTTCATAATCATATCAATTATAATCACACGACTTTGAAACTTGAGTTTTATAGTTTTCCTTGTCCTCTCCTATTTGTCGTCGTTGGGGTAGTAGAATTTTCCAGATATCTGGGACACGTGTTGAATCATTCCTATTACATGTATTTGTAGTTGATTCAATAAACATATAAAAGAACCCTGACAAATTAGTCAGGAAATATGTAGGGAAATGTAAAAATAAAATAAATAATGATTGTAGTGATAGTGATAGTAATAATAATAATAATAATAATAATGACGACATGACAACACTAACAATAAGGAATCTAAATCATCAGTAGTAATTCCATACAAGGAAGGAACCTCGGAAACCTTACGCAGAATTCTTAACAAGGCAGGCAGGAATAAAAGTGGCTGTCATTCAAACCAACCACAAACTCAATTAGAAACAAGCTTTGTCGGTTAAAGGATCAATCCTGTGGAGCCTTTAAAACAAAACAATTTAGTTTATCTAATACCCCGTTGGAATGATTGTCAGGTCAAATACATAGGTCAAAGTAGTAGAACAGGTGCAGTCAGTCAGACTAGCCGAGCATAAAAACCTAGCAAAATCTATATTGGTTGACCCGAATAAGATAAGAAATCTAGAGAATAGTTCAGCTGGCTATAGCACTACATGCAATTACACACAACCATACAATAGGCTGGATGGGATAGGATGACAGTTTTAAAATCTAATGTCACAGGTTGGAGGGAGAGATTGATAACAGAAGCTTTGTTTATCGAATCAACTGCAAATACGTGTAATAGGAATGACTCAACACGAGTCCCAGATATCTGGAAAATTCTACTACCCCTACGACAAATAGGAGAGGACAAGGAAAACTGTAAAACTCAAGTTTCGAAGTCGTATGATCATAATTGATATGATTATGAACAATAATACATTTTGTTCGAAGCGTCATCCAGTAAACAATACTGTTTCACTGTGTGATACATCTTTTAAACAAACTAATATGGAATTACTTACTACCACAGTGCCCAAGTTTTACACATATATTAAAGTGAAGAACAACCTGCCAAAGGTAATAAATACGCTTTCGTTTCCTTTGCATTGGAGAAGATTAAGCCATTCAGATAAAAAACTGGAGGTATACATACAAAAGGAAATTAGTCAACCACTTCTACTGCCATAGTAACAATCTTGTTGATTTCTACTAACTTGATTTTTGTTTATTTGTTTTTCTGACTTCTTATAACTCTTATATTTCTTTAGAACTCTTATATAATTCTATATTTTCCTTCATTTCCATGTACATCCTGATTACAACTGATTCAATAAATTATTCGTCTTACCATGTAACGAGTCCCTAATAGGACGAAATGCGCATCCTGGTAGATTTCACTGCTAGTCACCATTCACCAATTTACTTCAAATTAAATCATCAGATATGGTCGAAACATCTGCACAAGGAAACGACATTTCAACCCGAGGCTGAGCACTTCTATCCAATCGATTACCGTGAAAATCCAAATTGAATAATTTCTGATACGTATTGTACAGGAGGTGGCTCTCGTGACCCAACTGGTCTAGTGGATAACACTCTTGAGTCTGAAACTATGGGTACTGGCTTCAAGCCTCGCCATCACTCAATGGGAAGTGCAGGTACACCTAGCTAACGAGTCCCAAATAAGACGAAATGCTCATCCTGGATTCCACTCCTACTCACCATCTAACAATTCACTTCAAGTATAATACACTTATTCAAGTTCTTTCATGCACTGACAACTCATTACATCATTTTGAAATATTTTGACGACATAAACGATAACCCTAACTAACTTTTATTTTTGTCTAACAAACTCAATGTACACGTACACATACAAAAATAATTATATAAACATAATTGTGACTGTACAGCTGGGTGAATGAATTCTCCGACATGAGACTCTCCTCTGAACTATATGTTTTGTCAATCTGAACGAAGAATATTCTTTTCAATAATTTCTCTTCAGGTTCTTACAATTATAAAATATAATATTTGTTGTCGTTACAATAAAGGCCAGTTATGCGGCAGATACATTTTTAACGTAGAATAACAGATTAGCAGTTATGTGGTATCAAAATAAATAGTCGTATTTGTGTGACAAACGTGCTAGGCTGAATTCGATTACAAAATATTGTGAAACGGGAGACAATGGTGGTGATTAATCATAAGCTGTCGCAATAAGATCGATTAAACCGGAACTTTGTATCCAAAAAGAACACGTCCAGACGCTGTTCCTACCGTGGCCAAACTTGTATTGATGGTTCTTCTTCTCACCAAGAGTGCTCCTTCCCCTTAACCCTCCTAGCTTTCTTTTCCTTTGCTTATTATTACAAATATTATTATTATTATTACAATTATTATTATTATTGATATTATTATTATTCGTCATAATTTATGCTCTTCATGCAAACATTCTCTCAATACTATCGAATTTTTCCCTCAATATATGCCTCCACCTGTTTCATTTCACATATTCGTTATTTCATTATGAACCTCTCATTGCAGTCTTACTATTTCCTGTGTAATACATACCACTTTGTACTAGCCACTCACCTGACACCTTTTATAACCTTGAACCGACTTGTCAGTTTTCCTACCCCACACTCTACAAATCTATTATGACGACTAATCACCACCAATGTCTCCCATTTTACAATATTTTGTAATCGATTTCAGCCTAGCACGTTTGTCACACAAATACGACTATTTATTTTGATACCACATAACTGCTAATCTGTTATTCTACGTTAAAAATGTATCTGCCGCATAACTGGCCTTTATTGTAACGACAACAAATATTATATTTTATAATTGTAAGAACCTGAAGAGAAATGATTGAAAAGAATATTCTTCGTTCAGATTGACTTTTAATTTATAATATGGGAATTTCTCACACCATAATATATATATATGCCTCACTCACCTTGTTTGGCTTCTCTCTCTTTATTTATATTATGTGTCTTCTGATTGACTAACTAAAGCCCTCATAACTTATCTTTTATATCACATAACTGTGATTGTACAGCTAGGTGAATGAATTCTCCGAAAAGAGACTCTTCTCTGAACAAAATGTTTTGTTTTCATTTTTTAATTAGCTATGTTTTGCATTGAGATAGGGGGGAGGGAAATAGAGAACAGGCTTTATAGTATTGAATAATGAGACAATCCATTTTTCTATACACATTCAGCTCCGTCTCTCTCCCTCTCCTTCCCTCAGTCTTTCTGTCCCTCTATCTATTTCTCTCTAGTATGCTATTATACTTCAGTGTGTATAGTTATTATTATTATTGTTCACCCTCTTTTTCTGCCTATCACAGCACAGACTAACATCAGTTACAAAAAAAGGCTCTCCCACCGTATCACATTCATTTCAGTCAGTCGGTTAGTCAGTCAGTTAGACTACGATGGGTAGAGGAGGTAGTGATATTTTTATTAACCAATAAGAACATAGTCCGTACCTCCTCTTTTTTGCTTTTCAACAGATCTACATAACAATAACAGTATCTAGTTTCAGTAAATTGAATATTCCCATAATTAATTCAGAACAAAATATTTAGAGGGCTCTTAATATTTTGTTCTGGATATCTAGTTTGTAAATTCTTCACCTTCTTGTGTAAATAACTCTTTAAAACAACTAACCACCAAGAGTAGTGAATTAAAAATTGAAAATATTAATTAAATTTGTAAAAATACAATTATTATCATAATAAATAACTTAATAAATAATGTACGCAGATGATGGAGATCAAATGCAAACGAAACAGAAAGTACCAATTCTTCATGATGATGATGATGATTATGCACAATATCATTGGATTAATAACCACATAGTTACCACGACGACGACGACAGACTATTCACCTATTCCATTGAATATTTCATCAACTTATTCATCATCTAGTCCATTGTCATTAACAGATCCAATTATGCCTACTACTCATGTCAAATCGAATCCTTTCATGATGTTAGATAATCAACAAAATACATTTATCAGTAATACAGAAACCTTAAATACACCTTTTCATCAGTATATATGGGATGAAACCGATGATTACTCATCCCTATACACTTTCAGGTTAGTTTTTATTCACATGTGGAATAAATTTTGTGTATGGGTTTTCGTTGTATATTATGGTTTCCTTTAATTCCTAGAGGAACATAGGGCTTCAGCAGTGCGTCTCCATTGCGTTCGGTTCTCTGCTAGAGTTTTCACCTGGCTCCATGTCTGTCCACACGCTTTCATCTCCTTTTCACATGACATCCTCCAAGTCACCCTTGCACTGACGACCAACTCGCCGCTTCCCAATCGGTAGGGTTCCACTCGAGCGATGGCTTGTCTAGTGATGTCACTTGATGGTTTCCTTAGAGTATGGCCAATCCATCGTGCGTCGGTGGCACAGTGGTCAGGATTCTCGCCGACCATGCACATGGTTCGGGGTTCGATCCCCTGCCGACGCACACTCGATATCTATGGTCGGCCTGCAAAATTTGGGCTACCGATATCCATGCTGAAAATTCCATACTTGTACTGAAAATACGGTGTGGCATCAAGCTGTAATCAAAATAAAAAAATAAAATAAATTCTTCCTGCCTATTTGTTTCACAATCGGTTCCTGGTTGGATCGCTCCCAGAGATCTCTGTTGCTGATCTTTTCTGGCCGGCCATCTGATCTTGAGTATTGAGCGAAGACAACTGTTGATGAAGGTCTGTAGTTTGTTTGAGATGCTCTTCATGACGCGCCAAGTCTCTGATCCGTATAGTAGCACTGACTTCACATTGGATTTGAAAATCCGGATCTTATTTTTGATGCTGAGTGCTGTTGACATCCACACAGACTTGAGAGTAGTGAAAGCTTGTCTTGCTTTGATATCCTCGTCAGTTCCGTAGGCCTGTAGTTGAAACGATGCTTCCCAGGTAGGTAAAGGAGGTTGTTTCTTTCAGACTCCTCCCATTTATACTGGCTGATTGTTGTCTGTTGTTGTTGTTGCTGTTGGTGTTGGCCAGGAATCTTCATCATCACCTCTGTCTTCTCTATGTTCACCTGATGTCCTATCTTCTCTGGATGCTTCTTCTGCCAACTTGTTGCTTTTCGCTTGCATATCTTCCAGTTTGTGGGAAATCAGACATATATCATCGGTGAAGTCCAGATCCCCCAAGTTTTTTGTGTGAGTCCATTTTATGTCTGTTTCCTCGCTGCCCGCCGCTGTTTGTCGCATTATCCAATCTACTACAATCAGGAAAATCATTGGAGATAGCAGGCAGCCAGCTTGTCTTACTCCTGTCCTCACTTCGAAGGATTCCGTAAGTTTCCCGTTGTGGATTACTTGGCATGCAGCATTGTCGTACAGCTGTCGGATGAGATGTATAATTGTCCGTGGCACCCTGTAGTAGTAGCCGTTGGTTGATGATTAAATGAAGTTTTTGCTATAAGCGTATTATTATTTATTATTATTCTGTCAAATTCTCAATGGAACACAGACCTTCAGCAGCACATCTGCATTTTGTTGCTGATTCTTTCTGGCTAGTCATCTGATTTTCGGTATTTAGCCAGCAGTTCTTGACGCCAACGTCATGTTTCCCAATCATATAGAAGGACTCACTTAACACTTGTATCAAAAATTTGAATTTTGTTCTTTACGCTGTAGCGGAGTGCAGAAGATTTCCAAACTTATTCCAGAGTGATAAAGGACTATCTTGCCTTTCCTATTCTGGTTGGTTTTGATATTTTCATCTATGCCGGCCGTCTACAGTTAAATGGATGTTGCCTAGATAAGTGAGTGCAGTGACCTCTTTCAGATTTCTTACTTTGACAGTGATTGGTTGGTTATTTTCATCACCTCCATCTTCTCTATGTTCACTTGAAGTTCTGTCTTCACTGACAGCTAGCCTCTTCTGTCAACTTGTTGGTTTGTGTGACATTAGACATAAACCGTCCACGAATTCCAAATTTTGTAGACTTCAACCTTCACCTAGCCTACCATGGACTACTTGACCTATTTAAAAATATGATTGGTCATTAGTATGTACTTTTGTTTTCTACATAACTGAGTAATTGTCATGTACTTCAATTTATAATAATAATAATAATAATTTACTCTATTCCGAAAACAGTACCTATACTACAGAATGGAATTCTCAGCATTTGTCACAATATTGCATCTGATTTACTCAAAATATATATAAAATTAAACATTAAACCAAAATTAATCGGAGGAATTTGTCCACATTTACGACATAATTATTAGATACAATAATAATAATAATAACAGTGAGTTTGTTTCAAACGGTATTTTCGATTCAGTTTGGAAACTTTAGCATGTTATAGATTATTGGATCTAGTGTTCTGTTGATATAGTATAGTGAGGGGAAATACAAAATTAACGGTTATAATACAGCTTAAAATTATGTCCACACTTACGAAAAAAAGTAAACAAAACGAAAAAATTGAGAGGGTTATAAATATAAGAAATACAATAACAATAAAGAATGATGCTTTAAGGGTAAAGGAAATGGTTCATTTAGTAGTGCAAAGAAGGTTAGTTAGTTCATGTCTGACACTATTTTCATCACATAAAGTACCTACTATATATGGTATAGTGGAATTTTTATACTTAGACGTACGTGCATAAATTCTTCTGAAAAGACTTCTTGTTTTACCTGAGGAGACACAAGGTTGGAGCTGCGGGTAGAGTAGGTGCTCAGAGTCTGACAAAATTCCTTTAGCGAATTTGTTGCATGACATCAAGTGCCTATCAGTGACAATGTCAACGATATGGCCCAATGGGATACCACTTGTCCTACTGATAGTCAGTCTTCAGAGTTCTACGAAGTATGACATAGTCCTTTTTAAGCAATCCAGGAAAGAATAAGGGTGAACAGTAAAGAAGAATAGGTAAAATACACGAGTTGATAAACTGTAAAAGGAGTGGTTGGGTTATGCCTGAAAGCCCTAACTTCTTAAAGTAAAATGTCAGATGAAATATTCTTTTAGAAATCGCTAAGACATGAGAGGACCAGGATAGGTCAGAAGAGAGAATTAAACCAAGATAATTAACTTCAGACTTGGTTTCTATATCAGTATCATCGATTTTGCAAGTGTCATAGGAACCAACGGCTTCATTTAACTTTCGTTTACATCGGAAACTGAAATTAACAGTCTGACATTTGGAAGGATTTAGTTTAAGACTATTAGACGAAGACCATTTGCTAATTCGTGATAGAAAGTTGTTTATCTTAGTGCAGTCAGGCTGGGAGTTAACAGACATTGAAATAGTTAGATCATCGGCATACTAAACAAAGTCCATTTCATCGGAGTGAGGCAAGTCATGCAAGAAGAAAGAAAACAAAAAAGGAGAAAGGACAGCGCCTTGAGGGACACCAGCCTCAGTAAGCAATGAAGTGGACGACTTTCCCTGACATACAGTGTATTGCTTTCTTCCTGAGAAATAAGAATGCAGCCATATGACAACCCAACAGTCAGTTGGAGTTTCAGCAAGCTTGTTTAACAAAATGTCCCTAGGTACTGAGTCGAAAGCAGATGTATAATCTAGAAAGGTGCAGCGAACAAATTTAGCCCACTTGTCTAAGCTGGAGATAATGTTATGATACAAGACTGCAGCTGCATCTATAGTACTTCTACTGTGTTTGTAGGTGAATTGTTTGGGATCGTTAAAGGCTTTAAGTGAAGGTTGAAGATTAAGTAAGAGCAACTTTTCCATAGCTTTCAGAAAAGGGGAAATAATAGCGAGGGGTCTAAATTTAAAACATGTCGCAGTAGACTACTTAGGAATAGGTACAATTTTAATGTCCTTCCAAACGGCTGGCACGACATTTTTGGAAAAAGATTCATTAAATATGTCCATGAGAGGATAGCACAGGATATCTGCACACTTTTTAAGAATAACACTAGGCAAACCATCTGGACCCAGGCCACAAGAAGGGTTCATAGACTGGAGACATTTTAGAACATCATTTGTAGTAAATCCAGGGAAGCAGGTTTCATTAATACTTGTGAACCATGCTAGTTGTAAAGCGGTTGTAAAGAAACTACGAAATGACGATATTATCTCGCGAAATGTGTCTTCTAAATGCCTTATTCAAATTTATCAAACGGACCAACTGTTTTAATATTCTTATCTGTCCAATGTATTCCCGGGTTCTCGCTCCTCACAGTCGAACGCATAATCTGGTTCACCATAATTAGGAATGTCATCGGTAATAGTAGGAGGCAGCCTTATCTTACTGCTGTCTTCACTTCAAAGGCTTCCCTGTGCAATAAGTGGAGTACCTGGTATTAAATGCTCAAAATAGTCAGTAAGATAATTTCGGTAGTACGAATCTGTACACCCACCTATTATTACACCAGCCTCGTAGTGTGTGTGTGTGCGTGTGCAATATGATTCATTCCTCTAAGGATTTACAGAGTTATCTTCAAGAGGTATTTAGCTGTATTTCATCCGTTGTGAGATGCACATTTACGTAGAAAAGTTTGTCTAAATATTTGTTCTCCTCCAATCGACTGTAAGTATGCGTTTTGCAGCGAATTTATTGATTTCAACATTAATCTTAAGCTGACTTTAATTAGAGAAGTATTGGAAACCACCAGGAAGTACTAGACAGCTGTTTCATCCCTATTCAGGACTCTTCACTAGTACACACCCTTGGAGCCACCTCAAAAAACCGAACCTAGGACCTTCAGGTTACAAGGCAGGTTCATTGACCATTCTACCACTGGGATGGAATCCACGAATTCTAACTTCTTCCACTTTGCGACATATAGTGTCACCATCAGCCAGCGTTACTGGCGAGTATTTATCCTGACATCTAACCTGATAGACCCTTCTCGACACGACTTCTCACTAGTGACGAAACACAAGGATATAACAACTGTCCAGTACTCCGTTATGATTTTCAATGGTTTTCTAACTGAAGTCAAGTTCATGATCAGTCATTTTATCAAAAAAAATATATATTTGGTTACAATCTTCTTAGAATTTAACTAGTGGATGGTGACTAGCAGTGGAATCCAGGATGCTCATTTCGTCCTATTTGGGACTCGTCATCTGGATGTACCT